CTTACTGGTCTCTTCTCGTTTTCACCCTCCTCCCCATATTCCGCAAGTGATAGCGAATTTCCGGCAATGATAAGCCGTGTTATTTGCGATGCCAATTGTTGGTCCTCAGGACCACCTGCTTCTCCGGTGAGGTACTCCACAAGCATTTGGATTTGCGCATCCGCAGGTGAGGATGACCCAATGGATAGTCCCGAAATGACGGCCACATATTCATCTTGCGTGGATGAAGAGCTAGGTCACAAAGCGTCTCGGGCTCAGTTGTATATCTGGAAAGAAATAAACTCACTCCGCATCAACATCCATGGTATCTGAGCCAAAAATTTCATCCTCTGCAAATGTTGCAAGTCCCGCAGTGCACATATCTACAACTTCGAATTCTCCTGCGGGCGTTTCCATACCCAGAGCGGCAACTATGACGCCTGTGACTAGGCGTTCCTCACCGACGCGGTCACCGACTAATTTGATACGACCAGACTCATCCTCCAACATAACGCTGTCTTCATCGCAGTAGAATTTCTCACGCGGGGGTGGAGCCGGGATGGAATGCTTTACGCGTATCAACTCTGAGAATGGCCGATTCCATGTACAAGTTACTCACATCCCGGCCAATGTCTTCCAGAACATTCGGCTTGAGTGGCATGTCCATGTAGACTGTACCAATTACCCAACATAGTTGAGATTTAACAACATCAAGGACGCGTGCTACATAGAGCGGTTCACCTAATTGTACCTATTGTGAGCGCTCAAAAAGGATGGAAGGTTGTTGTCGCGTACTTTGTAGTCCGCCCCACCTAGCTTTTGCCCGCTCCTCCACTGCATTTCTCAGCAATGTCAGACGAGTGAAGTATATGTTGGCATATTGGTGCTTGTAAGACTTGTTCTTTGGGTCTATCAAGAAAGACGGTGTCATCTCAGTTGGAGGAAGAATGGTGCTTGTCGGTCGGACAAGTGGACATGATGGAGTTGGTCTGTGCAAATAAATGAGATTTCTAAAGGTCTCAAGAATGTTACTTACATTGAATCGAGAGTTGTCATCTTGGATGCTAGACGCGGTCAGACTTTAGGTCGCGACTGGTCAGACGCGTTTATTGGATTTGTAAGCGATTCTTTTCTTGGATTCCCCCTCTAGTTGACATTCTCCACTGAAATCAAGTCATCCGGAATAGCGGAACGTTCAACGAGTCTGGCCCGCAGCAAGCCGCATGTGATCAGACTACCTGACGTATGAGTCATCTATTTTGAGAACCGTAGCTTGTTCGACGTCATCGACCCATCATATGTTCCGGAGGACTATATAAGACGAGATAAGATAATCGCAAACACTGACCCCCTCTCTGTCTTAACATCCATCGTTTACCATGCTCTCAAAGGTGAGTATTCAGTGTACAAGCTCATCCAACGCTTCGCTTTACCTCTACATAGCACGTCAACGCGAACAAACTCATCCGCGAGTCCAAGGTTAGGAGTTCGCGACCAAATTCTATCATATTCAGACTGATAGACTATTCGCAGGATAAAAAGTCCAACCATCATCATCATAATCTGACTGGTAGGGACTCCGATTCCACATCTCACCCGTATGGAGCGCGGTACGGAATCACATCTGTACCCAAGTTCCATATCCCTTCCAAGGGGGTCAATGGGGAGACCGCTTACCAGCTCATCCATGATGAACTGTCCCTTGATGGATCTCCCAGTCTCAAGTCAGTCTTGTGAGGCTTGTATCATTTCCCGTCTTCTCACCTTCCTGAAGTCTTGCGTCCTTTGTACAAACCTGGATGCCAGAAGCTGCGAACAAGTTGATGATGGAAAACGTGTCCAAAAACTTGATAGATCAAGACGAGTACCCTATGACGCGTATGTCACAAATAGTAACCAATCCAATGATTACCACTTATGATCACATGCAGAGGAGATTCATACCCGCTGTGTCTCGATCCTTGCTGATCTTTGGCATGCACCTTCGACACATCAGGCAATTGGGACTGCCACCACCGGTTCATCGGAAGCTATACAGCTGGGTGGTCTCGCCATGAAGCGACTCTGGCAGGAGCGTCGCAAGGCTGAGGGCAAGTCTATCCACGAGCCCGGCCCCAACATCGTCATGGGTGCCAATGCCCAGGTCGCTCTCGAAAAATTTGCACGTTACTTCGAGGTTGAATGCCGCCTCGTACCAGTCAGTGTTGAGAGCAAGTATAGGCTCGACCCCAAGAAAGCCATGGAATACGTCGATGAAAATACCATTGGTGTTTATGTCATCCTCGGCAGTACTTACACTGGCCACTACGAACCAGTAAAGGAGATGTCTGACCTTCTTGACGAGTACGAGCAGAAGACGGGAATCAACGTCCCTATCCATGGTGAGCTATCTTTTATATCCTGTTCCCTTCGTATCCACTGACTTCCTGTTCAGTCGATGGAGCTTCGGGGGCCTTCGTCGCGCCCTTTGCGCATCCAAAGCTCCATTGGGACTTCAAGCTTCCGCGGGTTGTCTCTATCAACACCTCAGGTCACAAGTTTGGTCTGGCTTACGTAGGTGTTGGTTGGGTGGTATGGCGCTCCAAGCAGTACCTCCCAAAGGACCTCATCTTTGAGCTGCATTACCTTGGTTCAGTTGAATACTCATTCTCGCTCAACTTCTCCCGTCCTGCCGCACCCATCATCGCTCAATACTTCAACTTTGTCCACCTTGGATTTGAGGGATACCGCGCCGTAGCCAAAGATAACCTCAAGAATGCGAGGCTTTTGAGTCGTGCTCTCGAGAAGTCTGGCTGGTACACGGTGCTCAGCGACATACACCGACTAAAAGCCGAAGATATCCTTCAGAAGAATACCCACAACAACTTCGACGAAGAAAATCCGGAGGTCAGCATTCTACTGCTCGATAGCAACACTTTCTGACGTTTCGCAGAATTATGAAGAAGGTCTTCCGGTTGTTGCATTCCGGTTCTCTGACAGTTTCCAAGAGTCGTACCCTGAAATCCAACAGAAATGGGTTCAGATTCTTTTGCGAGCTAAAGGGTGGATTGTCCCTAACTACGAACTCGCCCCTGACTTGGAACAGGTTCAAATCCTTCGGGTTGTCGTCAAAGAGAACATGACTGAGGCGGTCAGCACTCTTCTCTTAATTTTCTTGTCGAGCTTTATTGAGGCTATCGTCTAGCTGGTGGACCGCCTGTTGGAAGATTTGGTAAGCCACGTTGGATATTTTGACTAGTGCAAGAGCTGATGATTGTTCAGGTCGAGGTTACTGAAGACCTCATTAAGCAAGAGTCCCCGACAAATGCCCTCAACTTACTTGGAAACCACAGCCGTAAGACCCGTGACAATGCTGGTAAGATGGACGAAGACTCTGGATCTGCGTACTCCGGTACGTACTCGAAGCCGTGTTAGAGCTGGCCGAGGTGAAAGAGCGGTGAAAACATTCATTTGGACGGTATTCGTGCAACATAGTATATTCTGTAGAAAGGGTTAGAAAAGGTTTAGGAACGTTAAAGATTAGGCCTGTTGATTGTTAGGAATGTAAACCACGAAGTTTAGGAGCACCGGGTTTAGGACGTGTTTTAAAGTTTACTAGACCGCAAGTCTTGGCGCTGCGCGCCGTAAGGGTTAGGTACGAGTTTGTTTATGTAAGTCAGGTTTATGTAAGTCAGGTCTATAGCAAGGTCTGCTACTAGGTCACAAACGACAACGACATTTTAGAACCGAGCATCCCTTAAATTAGACTTTAGTTGGTTGTATAATATTGTATTCTCCACGGATGCTGTATTTTTTCTTCGCGGTTTCTGCTTATAGTCTGCTGCAAGGGCTACAAGACCAAGGCTGAGAAGTTCATCGTATCGTCTTCTGCTGCAGCCAGTTGTGCAATGGCAAAGACTTCAAGCTTCAGTGACCTGTTCCGAGACTTCGTAAAGCGCCGTGACGTATGATGCATTGACAATTTAATTGTACTGGAGACAAGTAGCATCCCCATGCTCGCATTGCTGAAACTTCGCGGTGACGAGCGTCAAACAACATACCTAACGGTTGTGAGAGTCCAATAAAAGTATCATGTTATATTTACTTGTTCCCCACGACAATACTAATATACGCCCGTTCATCCGTTCGCGAGGAAAATAGAATGAAATTGAGTGGGGCTGATGGCAGATCAAGGTCAGCACCGTCGGTCCATGAGCTTTCTACGAGTTTGGCCGTACCCATCGATCGGCTACCGGACAATGCATAGGCAGTCAAGTAGACAGGACTCGCAAGTGAATATGAAGCTAGGTGAATACGTTGGAATCGACATCATACACATAACTGGTAATGTTAGATTCGCAACAGAAAAAATACCCTTGGAGCCGAGGCATTAACTACCCACTTTTCTAGTGGCGGTTATCATGTCAAGAAAAACGGCTGCTGTGCGTCATGTGTGGATACTACTAGAGATTGTGATAAGATACAACGGCGCGCGGAACTTCTAGCTGCGGAAGGCACCAGCCCTGACGAACGCATGGAATTCGTGAGAGGATTACCATAATTGTGATGTCGATGAGAGCAAGATACTAGAAAATATTGTCGAGTAGGTCAACCGGGTCACTGTATGATGCTAGTGCATATGCCGGCATGCTGATCACCACGGTAAGTCCACGTAACGTAACGGTGGACTCGACTGCAATATTACGAAATTCGCTGTCTTCAGCATCAGCCAGAAGTTATTTAGCGTTCGACAGAATGTGCCACTGGCACTTCATATACCATAGCTTGGAAAGGAAGACAGTTGTTCCTTCTTGATTCTACTTCGTGGGAGTCGAGTCAACTTTTAAAGGTGTTAAGTACCTGGCATCCCTTTCAAGCTTTTGCGACCTAACCTAGTATCAATGCCAGGTCACAGAAATCCACGTGTTGGTTCTTCATTTGTGTCTGCATAGTGTTTGAGTTCCCGAGTATGAGCATGTGTCACTTGACATTAGTCTGACCCTGCTTATCAGCGGAAGTCTGCGTTTCTCAAGAAAAGTCAACCCAACCAATCTAAGCATCACATATAATATTCTCGTTTCCTTCGAGAGGCATGTATTTAAGGAATCAACATCGGAAGCTGATTTGCCTATACATCCTCTGTGCGAGTTATGGCCCATTCTCATCTTACAGAGCCATCGAATGTGCTTGAGCACCAGGAGAAAGGCCTGAAGGGCTTCGATATCCACAGCGCAGAGAGCGTAGAAGAGGCTCCCTCTCAAGAGTCTGAGCAGGTCATCCGCGGGGCAGGAGACATTACCAACTTGGTAGGTCTAACAACAGGAGTTGTTGTCGGTTCAATTCATTGAATTTGCTTTAGATCATATCAGATCAGGATAATCCTGAGCTCCCCGCACTGACCTTCCGTTTCTGGGTCCTTGGCATTGGGCTAGCGACTTTTGGTGAAGCCTACTCTCTATATCGACGCAAATTAACGTTAAATCCGTCTCAGGATCTGTGCTATCCGAAATTTATTTTTGGAAGCCCCAGAATGCTGTAGTTTCGGCCTTATTTCAACTGATTATATCTTATATTCTGGGTAATGCAGTGAGTTTCCGCTGTTTGCTTCACTATGTCTCGATTGATCGAGAGGATACAAAGATGCATTATGCTATGCCTTCGACAGGGATTTGGCGCCACCTCAATCCTGGGCCGTTTAACATCAAGGAGCACACCTGCATCACTATTATGGCGTCCACTGCATCAGTTACAGCCAATGCTATTGGTATAGTAGCAACACTTGATCTGTTTTACGGCGTGACTTTGAATCCTGGAGCCGCGATCTTCCAAACGTTCGCATCGCAGGTGCTACCAACCGCTTGCTGACTTTAATATTGGAATTGACCCCATGATTCAGTTGATTGGATATGGTTTTGCGGGGCTTCTAAGAACCCTCCTCGTATGGCCAACTTACGCATTGTTTCCGAACCAGCTCCCATCAATCTCTCTTCTGCAATCCATGCACTTCAGTGGTTTACTCAACCGCAAGAAGATGAAGTACTTCTGGATTGGTAATCATTTTCAACTCGAACCTCTTCATGAACGCTGAAGATCTCCTCAGTCTTTTGGGCTATCTTTTGTTGGGTCGGTGAAGCAGTATAGCACGAGCTCATCCTCACTGATCTCGTGTTATCACCCACAGGAAATCATTCCGACTTGGATGTTTCCCCTTCTAACGGCGTTCTCTGTTATTTGCCTGGCCGATAATGGTCGCTCGCCTGTTATTCGCAATATCTTTGGTGCGGGAGGGTCCAACGAAGGTCTAGGTCTGCTGTCATTCGGCTTTGACTGGACCTTGATCACACAAGCGTATCCTCTATATTGGCCTCTGCAGACTCAAGTCTCTTCCTGGATTGGGCTGGGATTGGGTTATGCTCTGTTGGGTGTGTCATGTCATACCATTCCCTTGTTAACACCACTCATCAATTCACTATCAGCCGGATGCTATTATACAGACGTGTTCCAGGGGTATTCGAGGGGGTTACCGTTCATGTCAACTGCCTTATTCAGTGGTAATGGCTCATCGTACAACCAATCCGCGATCCTTGGCTCCAACAATCAACTCGACCCGGAAAAGTATGCTGAAGTTGGACCCCCGTGCGTACACAAACAGACATAACTAATCTTTTTGCACTGAAAATACCTTTCAGATTCATGACAACAACCTACGCAGTATCCTTGCTTATGACCTATGCTTCCATGGGAGCAGCATTTTCCCACATATTGTTGTGGCACTGGACAGAGCTATGGGAAGCTTTCAGAGGCTTCAACTTCTTAAAGTCAGGGCAGGATTTTGACGAGTGAGCTATGCCCTTTCCCTCACTTTCGGACTTTCTTTAACGTCGCATTCTAGTATTCACTTTCGACGAATGAAAGTGTATAAAGAGGTTCCACAATTGTGGTACGGTTCTCTTTTCATCGTGTCATTGGGCCTAGCGATTGGTATGGCGTACGTTGGCATTAACACCCTGCCGTGGTGGTCTGTCCTACTTTTTACCGTCATCGGTGAGTTACTGACTTTGAGGGGTTTGATTTCACCTCACGTTCCCTTTAATAGCATTCATTCTCGCCGTCATCCTTGGTTTCATATACGCTGTGACAGGATTCCAGCTCTCCACCGGAGGTTTTGTACAAGTCATTGCTGTCGGTGGTTTTCCTGCATCAATGGTGGCGGTCAACATTAACAGGCTGTGTTTAGGCATACGTCCACCCTCAGCAACCGATTCAGAACATGTATGCAAAGTTGTACGGTTACAACACTGGTTATCAGACATTCGCCATGCTGTCCGATTTGAAGCTAGGTGCTGTCCTTCGCTTGATGATTTGACTCAAGACTTAACGTCTGCCTTCGAAGGACAATATGCGAAAGTACCACCAAGAGCTACTTTTGTTGCGCAAGTCAGCGGCACGATCCTTGGGGCCAGTAAGTAACTTGTGTTCTACTAGGCTTATCTTGCTGAATGCCTTAATCGAGTTTTCAATTATGTCCTCTATAAGTCTATCGTAGGCGCGCACAGAGCCGATTTGATAAACCGTGCGTCATATCATACATATATAGTTTCTACTCGAACTCAAGCGAGATTGATTATAGCGATCGGAACGCGTATATGGTCAGGGTGGAACTCACAGGAGATCAACTCAGCAGCAATTACATGGGGTGCTCTGAGTGCGGAGCTATACAGCCCAGGTAAAACTTACTTTCAGGTGAGTTCCCGAGTAGATTATTCCAAACGCAGACCCACAACCCTTTTCCAGATCCCTCTCGGACTTCTATACGGGTTTGTCGCTCCTTTCTTGTTCTATGGCATGCATCGCCTATTCCCAAGGTAATTTCCTCTGTAGTATTGCTTATAGAAATCTGATACTTAGGACGAAATAGACAACGGATCTGGTCTTACCTCAACATGCCAATTATATTCACGTATCTTGGTTGGCTTCCATTCTCGGTCAATGGTACGTTGACAAATCGTACGATGTCACATAGCTTGTGCTGATAATTAATACAGGGATGTGGTGGCCAGGGTTCATCATCGGGTTGTATACGCAATGGTGGGTCAGGACCAGGAAGCCAAGATGGTACAATAAATACAACTGTGCGTAATGTGGCCGGAGATGTGATAACGAACCAACTAGGGATAACTATGCAGATTTGACCTCGGCCGCTTTGGACGGAGGTGCGTCCATCGTTTACTTCATCCTTAATTTTGCGGTGTTCGGTGAGTTCTCTGTTCGCAAGTCGGCACCGTTGTACTCACTCCACTTAAGGGGCAGGAGGAAGTGCCGTAAGCTTCCCTACGTGGTGGGGAAATCCAGATCCGAGCGTTATCAGTGTCGGTGAGTCCACGACTGCGTCATTCTTTGAGATGATTAATTGACATTTAAATCAGATCATTGCATGGCCGCCACCTTTTCATGACGTGGTTACAAGTGATCAGCCTCCTTGCTCTGACGAAGTATATTTGATAGCTTTGTTAAAATGCAATAGGTTCATGTATTTGAGGTTTCTCAACTATCATACCAATCCAATGCTGGGTAAGAGACGTTTTTCGGCCATCACTAGATGCACTTACATTCACGACGACGCGTAGTTAGAGGTGTTCTTTTGCGCTATCTCGTCACTCTTACCATGAGGCTGTTATGAGATTTACAACCATCGGTTTCCCGTCGCAGGTGGGAGATGCTTACACTAATCCGGTCAAGCTTTGTGAGACAATTTGATGACATCAGAAAATATCATGCGTATGTCGACTACGTGAGAGGTGTGGTGGGTAGGGACGACTAGATTTCAATCATCCTGATGAAGTTCCTTCCAAGCCTGTTCAGTTTTCAAACGTTTCTCTTTGGCCTGGGTGCGGTTACGAGTCGAACGCTCGACGCGCTAAGCCAAGGAAATGTCAGCACTCGGAGGGGCGCACTAAAGGTAGGCCACTAACCTCTTTTCGAAGGCATTTGTTAAGGCTGTCCTTTTCTTGATTGCAACCACCAGTTAGTCGTGCCCAGTTATTAACATGACATGCATCCAGTGCCTGGATGAATTCTCTGCAAACTTTGATCGCTGGGTTAGAACAGGAAAGGATAGAAGGAGAACCGCGCGCCGCACCTATTCGTTTATCGGACAACTGCGGGTGCATCTGAGAAATGGTGCATGAAAAAACAAGGGCTATTCAGCATCCACTGACAGTGAGATCCAAGGCAGTTGTCGAAAACCAGTGTTAACGATACACGCACAGACCAAGATGAGAAGAGAGCTCCGGTCAAGTTCCGGTCGTGTGTTTTCCGTAGACAACCGTCCTGCCCGAGAGAATTAACGCGAGAACCAACGTGCGAAATGGTTCCATGGTTGTAACGTAACCCTTCGTAAGCCGGTCGCAAACTCAAATCAGAATCTGTCTACAGCTATATCTGAGGGCTATATATTAACCCTAACAATTCTAATCCTTTCTCTTTCAAATCCATCAATCATGTCTCAGTTCACTCCGGAGCCAACAGACAACACCTCCATTGCTACCATCCGCACTCTCGCTGCCGATGTCGTTGGCAAGGCAAACTCTGGTCATCCAGGTGAGCATGACTAGGTCAGCTTCATCATGTGCAACGATAACGACGATGATCATCTTTAAGGTGCACCCATGGGTATGGCGCCTGTTTCCCATGTCCTCTTTACAAGGCAAGTGATATTAAATCACGAATGCGTCCACCTCGTACGATTATTTAATATACCCCAGATTCTTCAATGCGAACCCCAAAAACTCCAAGTGGTTTAATCGCGACCGATTTGTTCTATCTAATGGGTGAGTTTGTGTTCAGATTCATATCCGACTACTCACTGATGAACACTGCAGACACGCGTATGCACCTTACCCCTGACTGGTGTATCCCTAACTAATGCCCACTCTAGCTGCGCACTGCAGTACATCTTATTGCATCTCTTGGGATACAAGCTTTCCATGGATGACCTCAAGGCATTCAGGCAGCTTGATTCTTTGACCCCTGGTCACCCTGAGGCACACCACACTGATGGTAAGTACTACTTGTGATACAGTCCATATTGACGGACCGCTGACACTACGCCAGGTATCGAGGTCACTACCGGTCCCCTTGGTCAGGGATTCGCCAACGGTGTTGGTCTTGCTATGGCTCAGGCACACTTGGGCGCAGTTTACAACCGTCCTAGGTTTGACCTTATCAACAACTACACGTATGGTCAGTATTTTCTCAGTTCCGACAATTCGGAATATGTTACAACTGTGCATCTGCAGTTTTCACTGGAGATGGTTGTTTGATGGAGGGTGTTGCGAGCGAAGCCGCCTCCCTTGCTGGTCACTTGCAGCTAGGCAACTTGATCGTCGTGCGTACCTTTCACGTGCGACTTTTCACCCCGATTAATCAGTCCGTTCCAGATCTATGATGATAACCGTGAGTCGGGTCCTCATTGGCTTGCGGCTCCGTTCCGTGACTTATCCCCATTAAGATATTTCCATTGACGGAGACACCGCTGTTGCATTCACTGAGAGTGTCGAGCAGCGCTTCTTGTCATACGGCTGGCAAGTTCTCCATGTCAATGACGGTGACCAGTACGAGATAGTTTTTCATCCATATTTTCGATATCTGACTTGTGCTCAGCGATCTTGCTGCCATCAACGGTGCCATTGTCGCTGCCCGTGCCGAGAAGAACAAGCCTACCATCATCTGTCTCAAGACCACGATCGGTTACGGGTCAAAGCAACAGGGCACCCATGGTGTTCATGGCTCTCGTACGTGTAATTTCTTGACATATCAAGTGTCCGCGTGTGAACCATCTTTCCTCCAGCTCTCAAGGCCGATGATATCCAATCCCTGAAGAGCAAATTTGGATTCCCTCCTGACCAAAAGTTCTACGTGCCTAAGGAGACTTACGACACTTACCATGCAGCTGCACTTCGCGGCGCAAAGCTCGAGTCCCAGTGGAACAGCCTTCTCGCCGAGTACGCCAAAGCATACCCCAAGGAGCACGCAGAGCTCACTCGCCGGATTTCTGGGAAACTCCCAGAAGGATGGGAGCAAAACCTCCCTGTGTACACCCCTGCCGATCCTGCTCAAGCATCTCGCAAACTGTCTGAGCTTGTCCTTACGGCGATTACGCCCACACTCCCGGATCTCATGGGTGGCTCTGCCGATCTGACAGGCAGTAACTTGACCAAGGTCAAGGGAACTGTCGACTTCCAGCCCCCTAGCACCGGACTCGGAAACTACGCTGGCACGTATATCCGATATGGTGTTCGTGAGCACGGTATGGGCGCCATCGCCAATGGTCTGCATGCTTATGGTGGTATTGTGCCATTTGTCGCTACATTCTTGGTGAATAGTGTGCTTCCTCAGCCAACGTTTCTTGCTGATCCCATCCTAGAACTTCGTTTCATATGCGGCTGGTGCCGTCAGGTTGTCCGCGCTCAGCAAACATCAGGTTATCTGGGTCGGTGAGTAAACAGAATTTTTCAGAAACCAGGAAACAGTGTTCACAATCTGTCAAGCCACACACGATTCCATTGGTCTTGGAGAAGACGGTCCCACTCACCAGCCGATTGAAACTGCCGTCCATCTGCGTGCAATCCCCAACCTTGACTTCTGGCGCCCCGCAGATGGTAACGAAACATCCGCGGCCTATCTTGTCGCTCTTAAGAGCACGCAGACGCCATCCGTCTTGTCACTTTCCCGGCAGAATCTGCCCAACCTTGAGGGCTCTACCATTGAGCGTGCAGCACGGGGTGGATACGTGCTGTACGAGGTTGCTAACGAGGACATGACGATTGTCAGCAGCGGTAGCGAGGTTCCGATCGCCCTTGAGGCAGCAAGCTTGCTCAAGAAAGAGGGCATCAACGTCAGGCTTGTCAGCTTACCTTGCTGGTCGGTGTTCGACAAGCAGGATGAGCAATACAGGCTCAGTGTCCTCAGGAGCGGTGCTCCCATTCTGTCATTAGAGGCACTCGCGGTAAGTTTGAATAGCTGAAGAAGTGGCATACTTGGCTGACTTATCTCGAAATAGACCACTGGTTGGCAAAAGTACAGCCACGAGGTGAGAATTCGTGATCGCATCGATTTTGCTAAATAGCTCATATATCTGGCAGCAATATGGTCTACCTGCATGGGGTGCTTCAGGACCGTACCTCAAGGTGTATGAGAAGTTTGGCATCACTGGCCCTAGTAAGTTAGCGTATATACAAGGCTGGGACGTTACTGACTGTGATCCAGACATTGCCGTCATTAGCAAGAAGGTCATCGCATTCTACAAGCAGAAGGGTGGCCAAGTTGTGTCTCCTCTCATCAAGGCTTTGTAGGTTATTGTATCCAGCATTAAAAAAAATCGCCGGTCCCGGAATTAGGTTAGATTATTTGTAGAAAGCACAGTGTAAAGATCCCATAATCAAATAGATTGATGATTGACAGGTTACGATGCAAGGGTAGTCAAACGAAATTGAAGGAAACAGCTGGTCCTTCAATGGTCCTGTATTATGGTTCAAGCGAACAGTATGAAACCTCAGGTGGAGGCATTGCCAATATGTGTGGATAAGGATAGTCGCAACTGCGAGTCTACATGGAAGCGAACGTCTATTTGCGTTGAACGGTCATTGTATCCCAGGTCAATCTCTCCTCCTCTTCCTTGAGACGTTCAGGATATGAGGTTGAAGGTATCGCTTGTCCTGAAACAACGGTCAACGTCCATCCATTATATAGTACTGCGAGACATCAACATACATCCTCAGGCTTAGACCACTGTTCTTTTGGCAAAGGTTTGTGATGAAGATCACAGTCACTTGCAACTTTGAAGCGATAGGAGCGGTCATAGCTCTCTCGCGGAGTGAGACGACCGAGTGCCTGTAATTCCAGTCAGTGTTAAATATATTCACAAAAGCGAGTGGACAACTCACCCTTTGGACTTGTGAGCTCTCTTCAACCTCTACATAAATCCAATCTAAGCACGTTGAACATCCCCGAACTAAACATAAGACACGCACGGAGGTCATCATATTTGAGGCCCATCTTGCGGTAGCCCATGAGGTCGGCATACCAGTGAGCAATGGGTGTCACATATTTCTTGAGCGTCCGCGAGGAGCGAATGTATGGCGCGAGGGATGGGCCGAGCACGTTCATCGCGTTGGCTACTGAGTGTGTTGTCTTCTTCACGAAACTGCAGTTCAAGAAGCGGAACCACCCGGGATATTATTTAGTACTATTTACATCTGCTGTATTTAGACTTATTTTTTCCCGAAAAGATAAGATCTGGATAATTTACAGATAAAACTCGCAACAAATCTTGATTGCGATCAGTTAGAACCATATCCTCATCTTTCCGCTCAGACAAAACAGACATGGCCCCCAACATCCGTGAGCGCACATACATCATGGTCAAGGTAGCCATCCATCGTCTCGAGATGATCATTCGCTGAACGACCGCGCCATCTTCCAGCCCGATGGTGTTGACCGTGGTCTTATTGGCGAGATCGCCGCCCGCTTCGAGAAGCGCGGCTTCAAGCTCATCGCCGCCAAGCTCGTTTCCCCCACCAAACAGCACCTCGAGAAGCGTGAGTTCCGGATCCGACCAGATTTCCAACATGTTGATCGATCGCATCCGGTCTGCAGACTATGAGGACCTCTGCGATAAGCCCTTCTTCCCTGGTATGATCGGATACATGCTCTCTGGCCCCGTCTTTGCCATGGTCTGGGAAGGCTTGGATGCCGTGAAAACTGGCCGTGTCATGTTGGGCGCGACCAACCCCCTTCAGTCAGGCCCTGGTCAGTCCATGCGTAGTCATCGAGTTACACTCAGGTGCTAAATTTATCATAGGCACCATCCGTGGTGACTACGCTCTTGCCGTTGGACGTAATATCTGCCATGGCTCTGATTCCGTTGAGAACGCCGAAAAAGAGATCGCTCTGTAAGCTCACGAAAACGCCTCGATTTATTCCGTCTGACTATCTGTGCAGCTGGTTCCCGGAGGGCCTGGTCCAATATTCGCGCTCCAACGAGGCAAAGGTCTACGAGATCTAGACGCGTACAAAAGGATAGCAACAATAATTGCCAAATGTTGTAAACTAGATACCATTCCGACCGCATGTGGAAAATGGCCACCACAGCAGCATTAGAGAATCAGAT